CAGGTAAGAGTAGTGATGAGCAGGATGCCCACAAGGAGAGTATTTGTACCTGTAATCATGATGGTGCCAAGAGAAGCTGTGTTGTCACAGTGAAGATCAGTCCTTGTAACATTTGGGAGATCAGCTGTAGTAACAGAGCACCTAGGGGAAGCAACTCTGATAACCAGACTGATACGGTTTTGAGGAGAAACACTCCTTGAATTTTTCCTCTGATTTTGACCTGCTACATTGATCATCCTTAGGGGAGTTCTGGTTGCATGGGAATTGCAGCTTTTCCAGAATTGAGGTTGGTGGTCAGAGTGTAGATTGTAAGACTTCCTGTACCCAGGCTTTTTGCTTTGGATAGTCATTGGTTCATTTATCTCCATGCTGTGGCTGGTCTTTTTCTTCTTTTCTTTTTCTTCAGTTCCAGAGCCCAAGGATAAGCTGGGTATTAAATTTTGGACTTGGTAAGTTTGCCTTTATCAGTCTTGACATTGCCTGAACTATCCTTGCCTAAAGTGCTTCCTAGTTTTGCCCACTTCAATCTGCCTTATCCATATACAGACGACTGGGCATGTTTATATCTCATTGAGAATGGAATGGTACATGCTTGGTATTCTTTTGAGGGCATTTGAGGGCTTGATCCAAATACTATTCCCACTCAGTTTAATGAAACCCTTTGAGAAATGCAAATCCTGCACAAATACTCTTCTCAGAGAACATAAGCCATGCATATCTGGTATTCTACTTTGCCTACAAAATGGAAAAAAGCTGAATTTTGCACTTGGGGCCTCTTTATGAGATATTAGAAGCACCTTTCAGGATTCCTGAAAACCTGCACAGGTGAGTGTTGAAAATTACAACCATTGAGCACACAAGCCTTAAAGTGGCCCTCAAGTGGCTCCCTTAATGGAAATGTTTTCAGTGTGTCCATACATACTAGTTTGTGTGCTGAGGGTGACTGAAGCCTGACCTAGACACAGAAACCATTTCAAAGGCAGGAAGGACGGCTGCCTTCTCTGTGGTGTCCAATGTCTTTGAAGTATCTAAGGCAGCTGTTCCTGGCAGACAGAACTCTTGCTGTTTTTTAAAAAACACTTTGTTCTACTTACAGCTGGCATATTTGAAAGTCTAACTAAAGTAAGTTTAAAAAAAAACCCATTAAAGATGCCCTTACTGGATACGTCAAAGGAAAAGGATAAATTGGCAGGAGCTGAATTTAAAGAAAGATGTACAACTGTCACCAACCAGGGCCTTGACATTATTTTTATTAATATGTGCAGTTCATTTAAAATGATCTGAAGACTAACTTTTAAAAAGCAGAAAAATTCAATATCTGAGGCTAGTGCAGGCATGTCTCCAAATACTTATTAAAGTAGTCTTCTACAGCTCAGTGCCCTCCACATACATTTCAATTCACTATTTTACCATCAGTATAGCGATAAGCAGCAAGATAAGGAAGGCGGGATTAAAGTAAATGAAAGCCATTTGTAAGACTGTGTCCTCTCTTGCTAGATTATCCTATTTCGAATGCTGATTTCCACTGCTGGCCTTAGCCACTGCTGAACTTCATGTGGGAAACACCATAAGCTAACCTTGAGGCTACTCTGAGTTTTCTCTTAAGAATTTTCTGTAATGATATAATAATGCATACTAACTTTTTAAAAGGATGATGCAAACCCATGGATACCTGTTAATAGCTGTTTACAATAAATAACCAGATACAGAAATGATGTATTTTTGAATGTCAGATACTGACAAAAATGAAATGATCACAATTCCATTCATGACCTTCTGCGAACTTCCACAGGTACACCTGTGATGGAAATAGAATACTGGATGAAGTGGGTTTTGGTCAAACCCAGCAATGCAATTTTTTGGTTGATTTGAAATCAAGGGGCCCAATATATATCTGCCTGTAAAACATGTACTCATGGAAAGAGAGAAAGCATATGTTGCTTATAAGAATATGGATGATCATGGTTACATGGCATGGATTGCATGCCATGAATAATCAATAGCAAGTCTCGTATCTGCAGAAACTTTACGATACTTTTCAAAAAGAGATGCACTCCTGGTATAGCTTGTATGTACTCCTGTCAGCTTGTATGTAAACAAACAAAAACAAAAATAAGCAGTTTAAAATTAAATCTGTTCTAGCTATGCTTACTACATCTTGCCATTATAGCTTCTTAAAAAGTCAGCACTAAGAAGAATTTTCTGGCATAGATACAAGCTGCTAGACTCAGTTTGGAATCTTTACTGAAGCTAGAATTCTGCTGGACAACAGACTGCAACAGGTACCTAGACAAAATTCTGGAAACTTAACTTTATGAAAAAAATGCTTTCACTGTACACATGTCCATTTCTCTGTCTTTTTATCTATAAATAACTACAACTCCATTCCATAATAGCACTCAAACATTCCAGGTTGCATATTTCAAAGCACAAGCTTTGCCATGATACTTTTAGTATACAACCTGAGGCATATTATATATAATACAGAGAAATGTGCTACATATTTTGTCTTAGGACTTAACAGTCCATTTAATCAGCATTTTAGAATGCACACATTCTGCTATCATGGTTGACAATCTTCCAAAACAAAGACATGATATCAAACTTAATTCTGAGAACTACAAATGAAAAGTTGGTACTAATAAAAAAAGATATTAGAATCCATGCATGGGACTGCAGAGACCACTAATCGAAAGTGCCTTCTATTTGATGTTACCTTGTAGTTTGTTACCAGAAAAAGAAAAAAAAACGAGGAAAGGACGATAATCTTTATTATTATCATCATCATCATCATAACATTTCTAATCTAGTACTCCAAGGTTTTTGAGAACATGAAATCACAACAAAGATGAAAAAGAAATGTGCATATATATTTAAATATGTTTAATGGATCTTCTTACAAGTTGATGCTTAGTAGACGTTGCTTTTAGACATTCATTGTAATGAAAGTAGCAGATACGGACTGATGTTTTTCCAGCACAGCAGATACTGTACTGGGAAAGACAAACCTAACAATATTTTTACAGTGATCTTGGCTATTACAAGGACGGCATGTTGAAGATAAGTTTCACAAGTTTGCATTGAGTATGCGCTGCTAGAGACCTAAGGACACAATAGAGCATGTCAGTATGGGAAAAATGCAGGCACTTAAGTATATTCAGATTTAAGCAAGAAGTCTTATGAAACTTTAAGGACTAAGAAACTGTACTGTGCTTATGTCAACTTTCAGCTACAAGAGCTAATGCCAAAATACATTTGTTAGTATTTAAGATACTACAAAGCTTCTTTCTATTTTGCAGGCAACTATGGAAATTGGCCAAGAAATAAGCACTTCAGAATCTATAAATTCAACTATGGATTTAGAAGTAGATTAGCTTTTTTTGGGGCCATGCATATTTCATAGACTGTTTCTCCCCACTTCTGCACTAATTTGTACTTATGCTGATTTATATCACTTAATGCATGTTAGCACTAATGCAAATTAGTACAAATAGAATGAAAGTCTGGGAAAAAAACCAATTCAGTGAATGAAGAGACAATAAGGCACCTGATAAGACATAAAACACATCCACGCATACCTAGTTGCAATAGACTACTTTAGTTACACCTGTTTGAAGAGAATTGCTTAGAATGTTGTCTGCATGTTTTCTCCAATTAATATTTTTGTAAGTTAAGGAGTTGAAGTTGTTGAAATGAAAGCTGAAGATTCATTAAACTGCAATGTACTTAGGAGGCGAGCACATAAACATCCAAACCCATAGCTCCAAGCTTGATATTTTGTATGACTCCGACAATCCCTTCAACCTTTGTAAAGTTAGTTACTTTTTTTTTTCTGATTTATATCCTGCCTTTTTCCTACAAAGGGCTCTAGGCAGCTTACATCATTCTCCTCCTCCATCTTATCCCCACAACAACAACCCTGTGGGGTGGGGTGGGCTGAGAGTCTGTGACTGGCCCAAAGTCACCCAGTTGACTCCATGGCCGAGCGGGGACTCAAACCCCGATCATCAGAGTCCCAGTCCCATGCTCTTAACCACTACACCACACTGGCTCTTTCAATATTAGTAATACAGAAAGAAAAATTAGAGCAGTCTTCCCCAACCTGGTGCTGTCCAAGTGTTTTTAGACTACAATTCCCAGCATTCCTAAGCAATGGCTGAGCTAAAAATCTAAAGGGGACCAGGGTGGCATAGGCTAGAGAAAGGGGATGAAAGATATCTACCCTTATCAATCAAGGACAATCTGGACATGCATGCCAATATCACCATCTGGCACCCAACCACTTTATGTCTATATTATTCATATAAATCTCTTACTCGTCTTTTGAAGTGCTGAATGAAGATGAATGCTAGCTCCCCATGCTAGCACATTCTAGCAATGAATGAGTGTAGTTTAATGAACAAAATATATCTACAAAATTACACCTCACAGGGCAAAACTTTTAGGGCTGAAACATGATGCTGTATCAGAATTTCTTAGGCATTTAATTTTGATTGTAGTAATCATAGCCATCAATGCAGTTACTGGTATGAGTTCAGATGCAGGGTGGACTAAAATTAAGGTTCCAAAAGGTCCTGTATTGTTATTACTAAAGATATTGTACAATCTCACTGATCTCATGTTCTCACTTTTTTCTGGATCCTGCTCCTGCCACTACTATCAATATAAAGAGCAGCAAGAAGATGAGATTTAGAAGACTGGGCGTGATTTCCTCTGAAAATTCTGAGGAACAGCAGTGCACACTGAACATGAGTCAACATGGCAACAATTTCATTTTCATTTACAGAAAGATATGATAGTATGCATAATGCTCAGAGCTAGGAAATCCATAGGAAAAAATAGAAAAGTCTGTCAGAAGGCCAACCCATAGTACTTCTGCAACTAAACACAACAGTTTCTTTTTGTCAACAATATTAGAAGAACTGCAAAGACAAAATAAACAAATTGGCTACTAGGTAAGTGTTAGAAAACTCCCTTAATTTTTAAAAAAGCAAACCAACCTGTTGTTCATATCTTTGCTTGAGTTCCTCCAATTGCCAGGAGAATTCTTTTGATTGCTTTTCACGTAGAGATTTTGATCTGCTTAGATCTGCTTCTACCTTCTCCATCTGAAAGGTAAGATAGATATTAAATGGGTTCTTTCAGAACAAACTCTGCCAATAATAGTTTCCTCACCAAATGGATGAAAACTATTTTGCAACATTAATGAGTCTTGTCAAGTATAAATCAAAGGTATCAAATCTGTAAAGTGACACAAGCACAATCCAGTCAAAACTGAACTGTTTAAAATCCCACTGATTTTAAAGGGAAATCAGTTGCTAAATTCTAAGTTTTGAATCTGATGAAGAGGACCTTACTCCATGAAAGCTTTTAGAGAAAAAGTATGCCAGTCTAAGTGCTATTCTTTATTGTTGAAATGAACTAGGAAAACAGCGACCCAGTGGCACTGAAGAGATCATTGTCTCAAGAGATAATGAGGGAGAGATCAAGAAAGGTTGAATTAACTAAAGTATTTATCCCCACAATATTCATACTACAGTCTAATAGGGGCAGCTGGAAAGTACAGTAAAACCTTGGATTGGGAGTAACTTGGTCTGTGAGTGTTTTGCAAGACGAGCAAAAGGTTTTTCTAAATTTTAACTTGCGGTATGAGTATTACGCGCACTTTGCCTGCCAAGCATCATGTCACACTGCGGGTGTGAGTACAGCATCATCTCCTGCCCCCCGAGCACGCCTGCAATTGTGCCTGTCTCCCCCCAGCGCGCCCGCGATCGCACCTGCCTCCCCCCAAGCACACCTGTGATCGCGCCCACCTCCCCCACTGAGCACACCCGCTTCAAATTTTTGTGATAAAAAAAAAGTTACAGAACGGATTAACCTTATTTACATTGAATCTTATGGGGAAATTCGCTTTGATATACGAGTGCTTTAGATTACGATCTTGTTTCCAGAACTAATTATGCTCACAATCCAAGGTTTTACTGTACAATTTTTGAAGCAGTAAAGGAATAGGACAAAAAAAATAGCAGGATGTAACTTGGGATTTCAACCTCTCTGGAATTCCTGTCACCAGGTAAAAATGGGTGTGCATGACCAATTTATCACAACCAAGTGAGAGTTGATCATAAACCATATCCAATTTAAATACATCCATCCCTATTTCTTCATTCTGTATTTAATGTGAACTTCACAAGCAACTAAAATCTGTTCTGTGCAGAATATGCCATATGCACTGAATTAGGAATACCTTTAGGTTCCTGAGCAAAGAGAGGATACAAATTTAAGAAATTAATGTTTCATTCAGAAAAATTATCTAACACTGAAACATATTACTTAACTGCAGAGATTTACACAGACCACAAGATCTGCCTGGACACCAGTTCAGTAAACTGCCCGATTCAGTTTGTACAGATTTGGAGATCCTAATGTGGATCGTGATCTGAAAATCCAAATCTTTCCTTCTCCCATTGGAAGTAAACAAATATGAGCTAAAACTGTTGCTTCTGTTTGCTGGAATTGAATGACATTTACAAAAATAGTCATGTTTCGTAGTAAAGTTTTGATCCATGGCAATAACCTTGTTCATCTCTACTCTAACTGCTTCGAGTGTAGACTGTCCTCCTGCAGTGGCATCTTTAAAAATCCATTATACAAGTACATCTCAATCACCATTGCCCTTATTTTTTTTACTGATTTGCTTGACCAACTTCCATTTCTCTGACTTTCCTAAAAGCTACAATGTCATGAGCACTGCTCTAAAGGAAAATATTTTTTATAATCATATTTTGCGCCCTACTTAGGCTACAGCAATGAAATAATCTGAAAATGTTTGCTTTTCAAGTCAGCATCATGTGTTATAAAAATAATGAGGTTATCTGGATAAACCCAGATTAATTTCTTCAATAAAAAAGAGAGGGTGGTGGCAAAAATATATGAAAAAGAGTAGTCAAGACTTGTCCAAAGAAGTATATCAACTAATATTGTATTGAACTCCTGGAAAAACCCTATCCAGTAATACACCTACAGATAGTTTTGTAACAATGACAATTTTGGCCTTTTTCGAAAGATGAATCAACTGCTAACATCCTTTTTTCTGACTTGCTGGCAAAGCCACTACATTGTGAAAGGGTTTGATGTATCGCTATCAAGTGAACTAATGTTTCTGGCAATATAAGAAGAGAATATGCTATCCCACTGAGACAGGTAGTTGCAGAAAGGCTGGCATTGTGACCTCCTCACCTGCTCTTTCATTTCAGCATAGACTTTTTCTGAGTTCAGCTCCACCTGCCGCTTAAACTCCTCCAGGGCAGCATCAGCCTGCTGGGCTTGCAGCCTCTGTACCTCCATCACCTGAGTCAGCTGCTCCTCCTTCTCCCTAGAAAGTCAGGGGAAAAAAGCATAGTTCGAATATCAAATAAAAGAACATGTGTGCTGGTGTAAAAGGAAGGCCTTTAACCCTATCCATTTAAAAGACTAATCAGGTTTCAATTTCCTGTCCATGGGTATGCCAAAATTCTCTTAGTAATACTTTGAAGAGGAGACTGAATGATAAATCAGAGATTATTTTTACTTTTTTGTTGAACTGGGAATGCCTAAACACAGGACTGGCCCCTCTTGAAAGTTACCCCATTTTCAAAGCCTTCAGCTTTAAGTGAAGCTGAAATAGTACTACTTTATTGTGTCAGATACAACCCCTTTCATTAATCTTTACTTAAATAACATTAAAACATCATCCAAAGTTATTTAATCAAGAAAACGTTTTGCAGTATATAGCTATATTGTAAGATTAACACATCAAGAGAAGCATATCCCCTCCACCATCTCTTCTAATATAGAAAGAGGATTACTTGCTGTCTCATATATGTCAGATTATTAAGTACGGAAAACATGACACACATTGGGATCTTCTCAAGTCAATTTAGTGAAAACCCTTAATATGCAGTTATGGCATCAATTTAGCATTTTCATGGGTGACATGACTTATACTTCAAAAAATATATGATTATCCCAAATCAATGTCAAACACTGAACATCTGCTTTTAAAAAGCTAAAATGCAGGTATTGGATACATTAGAAACCCATGTACCACAAGTGACCCTAATATGGCTGGTTCAAAAAACATGTACAGATCCGATTTCATAACAACCTTTAATCCTGGGGTGCTGCATGCAGCTGACAAGCGCTTAACCAATCAGCTGTTCCCTTTGCTTCTCAAGTTCTGAAAGAAGTATGGATCCACATGCTGCAAACATGCCATTATCTATACATTGGTGAGGGATCCCAAGCTTTGCAAAGCACAGGAAAAATATTTGGAAAGATTTTAAAGCTTTGTGCATGACCACAAAAATGACTCATTGTGACTAAGCTTGTTCTGCTGCCATAGTATACTAACTGTAGTGGAGTGGAGTGGGAGAGAAATGGGAAACTAGGTGGAAATAGAATCAAGTATTCTGGAGGAAGACAAGGCTGAGTGAGTGGAGCACTCCACAGCTACCATTTCTCAATATAGAGAAACATTTTTTTCCTGATTGTCCTTTATTAATGGTATTAAAAAGCAATTTGGTCAGATGATGTATTTTCACATTTTACCAACTCACCGTTCTCTTATACATGTATACTTTAGGCTGATCTCTCATATAAATCAAGAGGATAAGTTTACAAACACATTTTACTATGGCATTTGCTTCATTGCAACTTAATGGAATAATACAACCCTGACTAAGTTTATTTATTTAAATATTTTCTTGCTCAAATACACTAAAAGCAACCTACAATCATTTGTAAAAGTGCTCCTGCATTTACTTTCCAGATCTGTACACAGCAATTCCTTTATTGGCTATATACCCTTACATGTTACAAAATTGCTACATTTTTAGTATGAGGAAGTTTTAATTTCTGAATTAAAAAAAATATATAACAAAACTACAAAACAACCACCACCAAAACATATAGCCACACGGTAACGATCAGAGATATACTGAAGCTGTCTTGAAAGTATCACTACTAATAAATATGTGTGCATTTATGTTCACACATATACACATATATATTTGAAGTTCCTGTTCCATGTCATTAATATAGGTTGATGTAGAGGGACCAAATGTCAGAATGAGTGTTGAAACAAAGTAGTCACCAGTACGATATTCCCTAAAAGGATGTCAGTGTTGTGAGATCTTCAGTTGAGGAAGATGCTTTGTCTTTCCACCCCCACCCCCACCCCCAGCCCCTGCATGGTGAGTGTCTTTTAGCCACCATGAGGGCTCATGTAGTTCAGCTGAGGTAGCCAGAGGACAGCTCGCAGGCTCTGAGAATGCAATTCAGCAGTACATTGACATCTTTGAAGAAGGACAACCTATTTAGGACAAAGCTGGCATGTGTAACAACTTCTGTCCAGAAGAGGGTCACATCATGTGCACTAATTATACTTCTGCCATCCCACACCACCAACATTGATTAGAGGGTGATAGGTTTTGTTGTTGTTGTTGTTGTTGTTGTTTTCTGAAACAGGTGCCATGGAGTCCAATATGCCGGAAAGAACAACTTTTGTTGTATAAGGGGCCATTTCAGGTCAGGGGATATGGACTGCATAGAGGATGGTGCTACTATATATTGATGTGGTTAGGTGCTCCATAGGCATTCTAATTCCCCACTCCAACCTACTCTGAATGTCTGGATGACAACAGGATTGTATTTTAAGAGACTTAACATACATATATTGTTGGCTTAGTTGTCTTTATAGAGCTAACCAAGTCCTCCATTAATGTTGGGGATTCCAAGGCAGTGAATGCTACTAGGCCAAACAGGAAACGAAACATATATTTTATCTGAAGATGTTGCCAGTGTGTGTTTCAGGGCACATGGAATGCGCTCCCCAGAGAGGTTCACCTGGCACAGTCATTATATGTTTTTCGGCGCCAGGTCAAGATCTGTTTATTTAATCAATATTTTAATACGTTATAATGGGAACTGGTTTTTAACTTTTGTATTTTATTAATTTGCAGCCAGAGTAGAATTGTCAATTTATCTATTTTATCTTGACCTATGTTGTAAGCTGTCCAGAGATGCAAGTAATGAACGGCATACAAATTTAATAAATGAATGAATGAATGAATGAAATTTGATATGTCCTTTGTAAATCCATGAAGGAGAAGCAATTCACCATCTTTGCCTATTAACTGATCTAAAGTGAGGATACCTCTCTCAGTCCACTGCCTCAGAAGAATGGTGGTCCAGCAATCTTCAGATTTATATCACACTGGATTGTGAAGTTCGTATGCGAGAGAAGGTCAAAGGGCATTTGATGGGCCGATATCTGCCATGTCTTTCTGGCTGCCTGAATGGAGGGTGGGGTAGGGCCCTCTCTGTTTAAGTGTGTGGTTCCCAGTGCCAACATTGGGTGATTGGTGTCAGATGTGCAGATTCTAGACCTATCCAAGGGGGTTGTTGTGGCAAACAGGTATTGTGCCATTCCATGACACATGAGAGAAGAGATGTTTGTTATATACACTGAGATCAGGGAAGTTGATATCTCCCTCCTCCACGGGCAGTTGTAGTTTTTTATGTGATTAAGCACAGCAGAGAGTGTCCCCAAAGAAATTTCCTGAATACTGCAGTGAATCTTTGAAATATGATTTGGGTATACAAAGGGTTATGCTCTTGGGGAACATATGCTATTTGACACAAAACAGTCATTTTTAATGTGTTATTTTACCCCACACACTGAGAGTGAGTGGGGCCCATCTTTCTAGATCCATGAATTAGTAGGGGTGTCATATTCAGCTTGATCAGTTGTGAAATGTATTTGGGGACTTTCATTCCCAGACAGGTAATATTTCAAAACAAAAGGCTTGTACCCAAACAATTTTTATTAGCCTAACAATATGTACATTTCCAATGAGTGTTATTTTCCCAATAATTAAAGCCTTTGAAGATAAAAGGCTCATTATCAGAAATAGCATATAACTGCTAACCTATACATCTCAACAGAGAAATTAATCACAAATGACTATAATGCAATCCAAATAACATGTCAACATAGCAATAAATTCAGTGGATTTTATTTCCAATTGAGTGAGTGTAGGATTCCAGTTTAGGATGCAATCATATACAAAATTTCTTTTAAAAATATAATTTTATCTTTGCAAAATATAAAGGTACATCCTCAACTTTCAGTCACATGAAATAACCAAAAAGAAAAAACAGAAAAATATTTATTTATTTATCAGATTTATATTCTATGTTTTCCTTACAATGAACTCAAAGCAGCTTACATAATTCTCTTCCTCTTGCTCTCAATCTTATCCACATAACAACCACCCTGTGAAGTAGGTTGGCCTCAGAGTTTGTGACCTGCCCAAAGTTACCCAGTTGATCTCATGGTCAAGAATCCAGATTGCCTGAGTCCCAGGTCCATGCTCTTAACCACTCCACCACACTCGGTCTCATTATACAGAATCATATAATTTATATTTCAGCCAGTCAAGCACTGAGAGTAAACTGGTAGATGTTTTACCAGTGGTATATTTCTCCAAAAGTATAGAGAAAATAGATAAGAACTACACCAGAAAGTGTTGGAAATGTGAAAAAGTAGATGGAACTTTTTACCATATGTAGTGGTCATGTGATCACTAAATTACAAAAAAAAATGGAAAGAAATACATGCGAAAATACAGAAAATTTTGAAAATTAATTTCACCATGACTGCTAAGACTATGTTGTTGAACACAGTACCAGAAACTCTGCCAAAGAATATGGTACAGTTATTCAAGTATATAACTGCAGCCAAAATCATAATTGCTTCAAAAAGGAAAGCAGAAGATAACCCAACTATTGAGGAATGGAAAAATAAATTATGCAGTAATGGCAAAATGGACTAATTATGTAAATAGAAAATCAGCCAAAGAATTTAATGATAAATGGAAACTCTACTATGCACAACTTACTTTATGATGGGGATAATAGAAAAATCTACATATGAATGGAGTGGAATTTTTGAAAATATTGTTGGAGAGTAACATTTAAATGAATGCTTCATTTAAATGAATGCTGCTTCATTATTACAGCAAGGAAAGTTATAGAAATAATATAGGAATAAATTCTTGAAAATATTTTTTGAGAAAATTGTTTGAGATTAGAAGAATCTACAATGATTTTTGCTAAAAAAGGTGATTGACTAGAAAGGACAGAAATTGTTGATTTATAGAAATTTTAAAAAAACACTGACATTATATGTAAAATTTGTTTAAGAACCCTTAGTCTTTCTTTGGAAATTTTACTTGTATTCTTAATTTTCTTTTTTCCACTTCTTAACTTTGCTGTTATTAAAATGAAAAAACACAAACAAAAAACCACAGGGGCAAACCAGCTGCTCACAGG